CAATCAATTTCTGGGTTACTGAAAGATAACACAAATCTACTTATACCATGAGTAACCTTAGCTGGGAGTGTAATCTGGATATATTGGGTCTTATTTCCCTTAAGCGATCTTCCTTTCTCTAAAGCATTTAGTCTGTTTTGAGAAATGTTCTATTTTTTAAATAGCTCAAAGGGTCAGTATTCTTCCAAAATGACCAAGTCATAAAAGACATTATTAGGAAATGGTTCTACAGTTTATCATACCAAGGAGACAAGTAAATACAATGCATGATGCCAGAATGAATCCTGTACCAAAAGGGGAAAGGCTGTAAAGGGTATTAATACAGAATCAACTGACAAAGCTGGAATGTCAGCAGTAAAACAGGTAAGAACACCATGTATCAGTATTAGAAATTCCAGAAGCTGATGGCTGCACTGCAGACATGGAAGACAGTGCAACACAACATCTTTATCACCTCAAATTATCCAGTGAAAAACACTGTGGATGTGGAGAGAGAGAAAGCATGTGTGAATGAGCAAAACAGGTGAGGCACATGCTCTAGACACCATTGGTAGAGTCCTGGGTGTGGCGCTGTAGGGTAAGCACTTGACTGCTAACCACAAGGTTGGTGGTTCAAACCCACCATCTGCTCCTTGATAACCCTACACCGGGTCACTAAGAGTCAAAACTAACTTGATGTCATTTTACAGCAACAGACATCATTGTCACAATTTTTCTGTAAACTGGACATTCTCAGATTTAAAAAATTACAATCTCATTGGTGCCTTTTGCTTTCTTATCTCTGATACTGTTTGTTGTTGTTATGTGTCGTGGAGTCGGTTCCGACTCAGAGCGACCCTGTACAGGGTTTCTGAGGCTGTAAATCTTTATGGGAGCAGAAAGCCTCATCTTTCTTCCGCAGAACAGCTGGTAGTTTCGAACTGCTGACCTTAAGGTTTGCAGCCCAATTTGTAACCACTACGCTACCAGAGGTCTTTAGTCTTTTCTCCTGGGGCTATAAGGCGGTACTATTTGACCTCCATGTCCCCTTTACCCTCCTTTGGACTCTTCCTTAATCCCACTCTCATGGTCTCACATGGAACTTGTGGCTAGCAATCCAGTACAGATCCCACAGCACCACACCAGGCCGCCAGGACACGGCATAAATGCACTATCAAACATCATTGAAAGCACGCAAACAGCCAAAGACAAGAGAGATGACCAGGACCTCATACCTTACATATGTGCAAAGATTTTGCCAAAAGAGTGAAAAGAGAACCCACATACTGGGAACAAAATTGGGGCCACAACAAGAGACAAATCTCAAAATTCTATAGAAAACTTCAAGACCTCAACAAGAAAAAGACAAATAATCCAATTAAAAAGCAAACCGCTGACATGAACAGACACTGTACCATAGAAGACACTCAGGCAGCCAACAAACATAAAGAAATGCTCACAATCACTAGCCATTAAAGAGATGCAAATAAAAGTATTAAAAGAAAACTTTTATGAAATAATAAAGAACAAATGCTGGTGAGGGTGTGGAGAGACTAGAACCCTAACGCACTGCTGGTACCTTGCAGGGTAACTAATTCTATCTTATGGTTCTGCTAGCCAAATTTCTCTATTCTGTAATGTATTGTAAATCCCGGCCTGTATGTCTGTGATTAGAAGCTCTGGTACGCAGTGGTTACGAGTTGGGCTGCTAGCCTCAAGGTCAGCAGTTCAAACTACCAGTTGTTCCGTGGGAGAAAGATGAGGTTTTCTGCTCCCATAAAGATTTACAGCCTCGGAAACCCTGTACAGGTTCACCATGAGTGGGAACCAACTCCACAGCACATCACCACCACCGCCACCATTCCTTGATTATGGACCCATTTTGAAGCAAATTGCTAAGGGTGGGGCTAAGTCCAACTTTACTAGGGAGTCCCTGGGATTGCAATGCAGGATAAAGTTCTGGACTGTAAGGTCAGTTTGAGCCACAAGGTCAGTGGTTCAAGCCCACGAACCGCTTGTGGAAACCCGAGGCTGTAAGTTTTCATGGGGAAAAAAAGCCTCATCTTTCTTCCTCAGAGTGTCTGGTGGATTCAAACTGCTGATTAGCAGCACAATGTGTAACCCAGGACTCCTTTGATTGACAATAAAAAGTTGAAAAAGAAGAGTTCAAATATTTAAACATACGCCTTTTCTGTCTTGAAAGATCTGTCACATGCCGGGCAGTAAAGGTCATCATGAATCTCCGCATCCTCAGCCACATCACTGTCCTTACCTATGAGAAAAACATGTAGAATCCTGTTTGATTAAAATACAAATCAAATCTGAAGTACATGAAAACTCTGCATCTTTAGTAATGATTACAATTGTACATAGTGAGGTGTTTCCTTACAAGAAACCAAACAATGATGTTGTTGCTAAGTGCAGTTGAGTCAGTGCCAACTCATAGCAACCCTTTAGGGTTTCAGAAGAGTGGATGATGGGTTTGAAGCACCAACCTTGCTTATCCTAAAGTGCCACACCAGGACTCCAAATGATAACCAGGGCTTAAAATCAGCATTAACACAATAAGACATCCAACTAATTAACTTTATCTTTCAAATTATTTTTCACAAATCTATTTAGAAGATACCACAAACAACCCACAAAGTTCTGGATATGAGCTAAGTATAGAAAATTAAATTAACAGCTCATCAGAAAGCAAATAGTACAACAAAGGTTTTTTCAACTTATCTCTTGAGGAAGATTTGGTTCACACATATCTACAACTGTGTTCTACTCTTAAATGCTTAAATTGGCTTAGTTTACAAACTTCCATCATTACTGTTTGTGTTCTGTCAATTCCGACTCATAGAAACCCCATGTGACAGAGCAGAGTTGTCCCATTGGGATTTCTTAGCTGTTTTCTGTACGGTGACAGCTTGCCAGGTTCTCTCCTGTGGAATGAACCACCATTCTTTCCTTTAGCAGTTGAGGATTTGCCTGCTGTAAAAACCCTGGACTAACTCAATCAGTAATAAAGACCACTAGACAGGATGCAAGTAAAACTCTGGACCATTCATTCTCAGGCATATCCCATCAATTCCCAGAGTCTTTCTGTATCAGTAAAATGAGGCTAATTCCACGAGCAAAATCTACATTTAAGGGGCACTGTCTGAGGATCAAGCAAGATTTTATATTTGAAGGCACTGTACAAAATGAAATTCTATATCATTGTGTCACTTTATATTCATAGAGCACTTTTATCGTTTTCAAAGGAACCCTGATGCGGCACAGTGATTTAAGCTTTGGGCTACAAGGTCAGCAGTTGAAATCCACCAGTTGCTCTGAAGGAGGAAGATGAAGCCATCTGCTCTCATAAAGATTTGCAGTCTCCGAAACCCTATGGAGGAGTCCATCTCTGTCCTCAATGGTCACTATGTGTAGGAATCAACTTCACAGCCGTGGGTTATCACTGTCAAAGCACTTCAACAAGTACTACACTACACTTCTGATTCATTAGTAAGACAACTTCCTAATCATTTTGAATAAATTAAATTTTGTCATTCTATCACAGGTTATTCAAATGAAAAACCTCATTTGTAAATATGCAAAAATGGATGATGTTTGGATCATTCAATTATCTTACTCTTCATGGGCTAAAGGCAACTGGGACAATCAAATACACAATCATTCTCACTAATACACAATCCTCACCCTTTAAACCAGTCACATTTCTGTGCTCTAATGACGGAGGCAGAGACAAGTAACCCTGCAGTAAGCAAAGAGGAGAGCCTCTAGTCGGAAGGGAGAGGCAGAGTTTCCATACACCACACAGACTCCAGCACGGTATCAGCTTTGCTGGAAATAGTTGTTACTAACACAGCCTACGGCTCATTGTCTGTCCTTTAATAACCAATCAGTTACACTTGTCAACATGCCCACTTACTTGTCCAAATACTTCCACAGCCAGAAGCACAAATCATTCAGAACATGGTCTGAAAAGAGCTGTTACCAAACTAGACTATTTCAACAGACCCCTTTTGTTTGGCTCATACAGGATTATTGTTCATTTGAATTACTTGTCACATTTAAAATTTAAGAAACGTCACATATAAATTCAGATTTAAGAACAAGAGCCAACACACCAACCACAATGGCACACATCCCCTCCATTGTCACAGCCAACTGGAGCTCCAGTGCCAGCAGGCTTGCCATGTGCTTGTAGATTCTCTGTTGTCTTATCCCAGTAGTGCCCCTTCACTGGCACAAGGCCTGCTCTCAGATCGATCTATTTTCTAAAATGACTCAATGAATGGAGAGAAAGTTACCATCCTGTCCATCTGTGGGCTCATGCTCCTCCAGCTCATCTTCCTCCGATCCATCTCCAAACTCCTTCCCGTACCGCGCCTCCATCTCCCTGAGCTCCTTCTCCAAGTCGGCCACCGTCATCCAGCTCTGTTCTCTGTACTGCTCAGCCAACCTAGGCACACGACAGGACAGCTGCACTCACACCATGACGCAGTCTCCATATTGTTTTAAGTTATCTGTTAAGCTGCCTCCCATGAAAATGTCTACAAACTGTCAAAGGCAACACTTTGTTAAAACTGGGGTAAAATCACGTAAATGTTAGCTCTTGTAGGGTTGATTTTAATTGCGCTACTAGATAATGAAGGAGCCCTGACAGCGTAGTGGGTTACGTGTTGGGCTGCTAACCACAGGTCAGCAGTTCGAGTCCAGCAACTGCTCCACGGTAGAAAGATGAGGCTTTCTGCTCCCATAAAGATATATAACCTCAGACACTCTATGTAGGGTCAGAACCAACTGAGTGGCACACAACCACCACTATACCACCATTAGATAATGGGCTATGAAGCAGGGAGTTCTTAGCAACTTCCTAAAAGGTTTTCAGGTAATTTTAAGTCTGATTTTAAGTGTTAAGTGTTAGTTTTCAAAAGAAGCAGGGTGAGGCAGATGGAATTTTCAGAGTGAGTGTTGGTTTAAAGAATGTCATTATGTTCTGGACACTTTTACAGCAATTCCTAACAAAACCTTAAAGGAGCTAGCACTAGAAACTTAAGAGTATTCAGACTGACAAAGAGGCATTATGGCATGGTAGTTAAAAACAGCAAGGGTTCCAACTTCAGAAGGGTTGGGTCTAATTCCCGCCTCTGCAATTAACCCACTAAGTGCTCTTGGGCCAATCTGCCTTATTTCTTTAAAAGAACAAGGATAAAAAGAGCATTTGACAGAATCGTTGTGAGGAAAGACCTTAAATTAGAGCCCTGTACAAAGTAAGAATACAACCAACATTGTTGCTGTTGAGGGCCAATGAGTCAATTCCGACCCATAGCGACCCTGTATAGGGTTTCCAGGGAGAAACTGGTGAGCTTGAACCACCGACCTTGCAGTTTAAACAACTTTACAGTCTGACGAATTAGCCCACAGCGCCACACCAGGACTCCTTAACCAACATTAGTTATTACAAAATTCCACAAGTGTCTGTAAAGGATCTTCAGTATAAAGACACTTTGAAGCTAGCCATCCCAATAAAACTAAGACTGTTTACACAGTAGGTGAAGAAACACTCTACTGCTAAAATATATTTTGAAAAATAAAAAAAAGCAAGGATGAAGCTTTCACCCGACATGGAAGCGCACGCCAAGTCTCCACGGACATCCCTGTGGGCTCTACTGAGACAAGGCCCCAGTCGTGTGGTACGCACTTGGCTTGCTTTAGCTTCTGTTGCCGCCTCATCTCTTGGGCTTTCCTCGCCTTCTCTGCATTCTGCTCTTCCACCAGTTTCCGATGAGCCTGCACTCTTTTATCTCGTTTACGAATGAAAGCTACCAGCTGTCGGACAAGTTCATTCTTCTCTTTCCTTGCTTTGTCCCGGACCTTCTTGTTTTCTTTTTCCATGGCTCGTTTTTCCCAGCGGTTTGAAGCTTGCCGAGTGTCATATTCTTCCTTCCAAGCAAAGTTCTTCTGTGTGCAGAAACTCTGCCAATAAGCGTAGAAAGGATGGACTACCTAGGGGCAGAAAAAATAGTCTGTTTAAGTCTAGATTTAAAAAAAAAAAAAAGAAAAGAAAATCAACAAATATTAGTGATGCAAAACATCTTCTAGCCTTCTCTATTTTATTTTCAAGATTGTACAACTATCAATGGAGAAGACAGCTCTTCTAATGCTTTGCAGCTGAAATCCCTCTTCAGCAAGCATTCAGTAAGAACAAGAACCTGGCTGACCGTAGGGTCAATGCTAGGGGGAAGGCAAGGGCACTGAGCACGACAGAGCTGAGTGCTCCTTCAAGAAGGGTGAGAGAGGAAGAGAAGATGGTCGAGGCTGGGACTGTAAACCAGAGTCAGTTTTGTTGTTGTTTTTAAATAAAAGGTGAAAACACTGTAATGACATGTTAAAATGTTGACAGTTTAAATATATATATGTACTCTAAATTTTAGCACACATCGAAAAAATTAAAAGACTGTAATGAACACTAACTATAAGGTGGCAATGAACTTTATTTTTTCTTAACATTCTCTGTTTACCGTATCATAGTCACTCTGAGAGTCACCAAAAGTTGGAAAATCCTCAGCTTCATCCTCTAAGACAGATTCCAGTTCTTCCTTTGCAATCATTTCAAAAACATGACGATACACCGCATAGAAACCCTAGAAAACAGTAACAGAAACGCAAATTCCTAGTAATTGTGAGGGCTAATCACCAACAAGGTTTTTAAAATATAATACAACAAACCGTGTTGTTGACGAGTCACACGACCAAGCATTATCACTGTTGTTGTTGTCAGGTGCCATCAAGTCGGAATCGACTCATAGCGACCCCATGCACAGCAGAAAGAAACAATGTCTGATCCTGGGCCAACCTCACTACCGCTGCCACACTTGAGTCCATCAATGATGCCACCTGGCAGATCCATCTCGTTAGGGGTCTTCTACTTTTTCTCTGACCCTCCACCTTACGCAGCATGACATCCTTCTCCAGCAACTGTTTCCTCCGGACAATATGTCCAAAGTATGAGAGACGAAGCATAGCCATCCTGGCCTCCAAGGAGCACTCTGGCTGCACTTCTTCCAAAACAGATCTATTGGTTCTTTTGGCAGTCCATGGCACTTTCAGTATTCTCCTCCAACACCACAACACAAAGGCATCAATTCTTCTACGATCCTCCTTATTCACTGTCCAGCTTTCACATCAATATGAGGCTATTGAAAACACAATGGCCTGGGTCAGGCGCACCTTAGTCCTCAAGCTGACATCTCTGCTCTTCAACACTTTAAAAAGTTCCTGTGCAGCAGATTTGCCCAGTGTAATACGTTGTCTGATCTCTTGACCGCTGCTTCCACGAGTGTTGATAGTTGATCCAAGAAGAATGAAGTCCTTGACAACTTCAATCTTTTCTCCATTGATAAGAATGTTGTTTATTGGTCCAGTGGTGAAGATTTTTGTTTTCTTGACATTGAGATGTAATCCATATCGAAGGCTGTGCTCTTTGATCTTCATAAGTAAATGTTTCAAGTCCTCTTCACTTTCAGCAAACAAGGTTGTTATCATCTGCATATCGCAGGTTGTTAATCAGTCTTCCTCCAATCCTGATGCCACGTTTTTCTTCATAGAACCCAGCTTCTCGTATTATTTGCTCAGCATACAGGTTGAATAAGGATGGTGAAAGAATACAACCCTGTCTCACACCTTTCCCAATTTTAAAACATTCAGTGTTCCCATGTTCCGTTCGAACAGATTTCTCAGAAGTACAATTAAGTGTTCTGGAATACTCATACTTCTCAATGTTGTCCATAGCTTGTTATGATCCACACAATCAAAAGCCTTTTCATAGTCAATAAAGCACAGGTAAACATCCTTCTGGTATTCTCTGCTTTCAGCCAAGATCCATCGGATATCAGCAATGATATCTCTCGTTCCATGGCCTTTTCTGAATCCAGCTTGAACCTCTGGAAGTTCTCTGTCAATATATGATTGTAGCTGTTTCTGTATTACCTTTAGCAAAACTTTACTCACTTGAAATATTAAAGAGATTGTCCTATGATTTCTGCAATCTGTTGGCTCACCTCTCTTTGGAATGGGCATAAATATTGATCTCTTCCAATCAGTCGGCCAGATAGTTGTCTTCCAAATTACTTTGCAGAGATGAGTGAGTGCCTTTTGTGCCACCTCACTTTCTTGAAAGATTTCAATTTTTATTCCATCAATTCCTGGTGCCTTGTTCTTTGCCACTTCTTTTAAAGCATTATCACTAGGATGACAGTTAGATGCCCACTGGCTGCTGGTTATGATGGATCTAAGGATGAGGGCAATTTTCTAAATTTCACATGTTATAATAAGCAATGGGTCACCTTCCCTAAGACAGTAATTTTCAGAGTCCTCTCTGTATTTCAGAGCCTTTCCTATGTGCTCAGTAAGAAGCTAGGATGAGCTCCCTTTCCTTACCTTCTCATCATCTCCGTAGCCAGAGTAACAGGTAACAGTGAAATAGTGAAGCAAATCTAGGCTGTCGTCTTGATACTCTCCATCAAGCCCACCTTTCAGCAGAGCCTCTCTGTGATTGTCATACCTAAAACACACATGACACCACCAGTAAAGGTTTAGTAAGTAAGAATCCAAAAGGATGCCTTGCTGTGAAACCACCAAAGGATCATTATAGCACCATTTCAATGTGTCTAAGACACAACCAAAGCAATTTAAGAAAAATATTGACATGGAAAAAGTCAATAATCCTTCATAGAACTGCTGATTCAAACTTACTAACCTAGAGGCATTGTTGTTCAGTGCCATAGAGTCGGTTCCAACCCATAGCAACCCTGTATAGGGTTTCTGAGGAGCAGTTGGTGAGCTTGAACCGCCGACCTTGCAGTTCAAACGGCTTTGCAGTCTGGCGCATTAACCCGCAGCGCCACACCACATATGAATGGGGCATTTCAGAAGGCAGAGAACTTCAAGATCTCTCCCTGCCAGGCAGGGGCTGTTCCACGGCAAAGAAACATTACTGAGGAAGACAATGCTAGACATAATCTGGTCCGTGGACTAACTGTACACTTGGGGTATGGGAATTTACCAGTGGATACCAGAGTAAAAACTCTTCCTACATTCATGTGAACTGAGTCTACAGAATTTTAACCATAGATAACTGACGAACTATAGCGATTATAATAATACTGATTTGTTTACTCTGAGCTTGCCATTTTCAGCACTTCACAGGCAAAGCTGAGAGTATGCCTACATCCACTGTGAATGACAAACACACAGAGCATGAGTCCATGTAACAGCAAGTACTGCACTAGGGGCTCACGTGTACACTATCTCAAACATTCCTCAGAGCAACTATCATGTAGATATTACCGCTGCTTGACAGAGAATTGAAGTTCAGAGATATTAGCTATTGTCGATAATAATCAAGACAGAAAAAACAAAATTCCAAACTAGGCCCTTACACTGGGTCCTTGGCCACTAGCATCCAGGTAATAAAAACTGAACCACGGCCAACAAGTCAATTCCAATTCACAGCAACCCTGTGTAGGGTTTGCAATGCTGTAAATCGTTACTCGAGCAGAAAGGCTCCTCTTTCTCCCACAGAGTAGCTGGTTGATTCGAACTGCTGACCTTATTCTAGCAGCCCAATTCAGGTTAATAGGAGAGCTACTAGGCAGGAACCTCAAGCCCATTCATCAATGGAACAGGAATAATAACCCAAGATCCAGAAGAGAGGCTAGAGCCACAGGAAGTCAGGAAAGACTTTTGAAACTCTCAAGACAGACAGCAGCATTTCTAAGGCTAGATCTTCAGATTCAGGGAGAGAAGTTTAGATCCTGATTTTCTTAGGAAAGACAAACTTCATTTTCTTTACAGCCTTTCTTTCTTGACAGCCAGCTTCGGTAATGTTGACACATCGAAGACCTGACAGCAGCCCTAAACGCCCACCTGCTCCTCTCTGCAAGTAGCAGGATCCTACACGTTTATGTCCCGGCATGAAACCTATTCCTTTTAACAAAAAGCTCACCAAGGAGCTGAAAACTCAGAACTTCACTCAACAGAGGAGTTGATCTGGAAATGGTGTTAAATTATCAGATTATCATTAATAGGGCATTTGTCACTAGTGTTCACTCAATTTGTTCATACAAAGTAGCTCTATGGAAAATACAACACTTCTTGCAATATTGAGAGACTATAATCATTTTGAAGGCCAAGTCCACATTCCTGCTGTCTGACTGATAACAGTAAATTCACCATCCATCCTATTTCATGGCAAAGTCACATGAAGTATGAAAATCAAAGCTATGTACACTGTCAAACTTTCAGGGCCTGTGTCCTTGCCGACAAAAAGGCAGGCATTTGGAAGAGACATCTCTAAGGTTCCTTCCTGTTCAAATAATCATTTTTGAGTATTTAATGAACTGCCAAACTTCATTCATTTAATGAACCAAAGCCATTTAATGAACTGCACTAGTTTTTTTAAAGACCCTAGACTGACAATTCCTCCCAACAAACGGAAGTAGGATAGAAAGCACAGTGTGATGCTTACTTACCAGGCTCTTTCCTGAGGGTCACTCAACACATCATATGCTGCTTGGATTAATTTAAATTGCTCAGCTGCCTCTGCAGCATTATCCAGATTTTTATCTGTCAAAATAAAGTCACAGAACTTTTGTCATTAAAAACGGAAGAGACCTCTTCCAACACAAATGCCATATGGAGATCAGGAGGGTACAGAGCAAAAAGGACTTAGGAAAAAGCAAAGGGATCCCAGGTGATGGTGGCGAATTGGGATTTGTTACAAACATCTACTTGAGTAGAAGGAATTCTAGCCTCTCCCTTAAGTCCTGGCTTTCAGCTGGATGCCCACCTGTGGTATCGATAAATGGAAACTCCTGATTAATATGCATTTTATCTTTAAAAGGAGAAAATCATACACACTCAGTTATGAAAAGAAATATTTGCTTAACATTAGGTAATGTTCAGTGCCCACGTTATCTTTGAGATCTTCTTATCAATGTAAATTTAAATAAATCTCAATAAGTTTTTTAAATATATGCTAACTACTTATTTTTCCCTTAGTTGTACTTCCTTAGAGCTGGAATTCAAAAGCATCTTGCCTCTGTGTGGTAGAAAGCCTCCAAAATGGCCCCAATGATCTTCATTCCACATTACTGGGTTGGTCTGGGCAACTAACAACCAAAGGCTGAAGTGATATTATGCTACTTTCAAGGTCAGACCAGAGTCCCCATCTTAGGCATGCCTTCAGCCTCTCCCCCCTACCCCGCCCCCCCATCTTGGATCACTCTTAGAGGAGGTAGCCCATAGAGAATGGTGGTCTCTACTTCACAGCCGGCAAGGAACTGAGGCCACCACGAACCATGGAGTGAGCCTGAGAGCAATCTCCAGCATAGCCAAGCCTGGGATCACTGCAGCCCAGCCAACATGATACTTCATGAGAAACCCTGAGCCAACGTCACGTAGCAAAGCTTTTCCCAGATTCTGACGCTCAGAAGTTGTGAGAGTTTATATAATGAAATGCTTGACATTTGTGTTGCTGCTGTTTAAAGCTCTATGTTTTGGGGTAATTGGTAAGTGAAATATTTTGAATCTACTATATGAAACACACTAAAGTTCAAGTTGTAAATCAAAATTTGTCTTCTCAAAGGTTAGAAGAAAATCTAACAGAAATGCGTTCCCTACAAATGGTCTTGCACTTAAAATAGGACCATTAGCGCAGCTCTCACACAGGGCCTAAGTCCTGCAGCTGACTTTCTGCTCACAACTCACAGAGATACTTCCACAAGGATTGCAATTTTTCCAGAGCTATTTGCTAAGATGCTAAAACACAAAAAAACTTTAAAGTATTAGTTCTAGTGAGTCAATTATTTAAAAAAAAAAAAAAAAAAATCTCCTTCCCAGTAGGCTGGTTGCATATCAGAAGTAACACAATGTCAGTCTAATTCTCTGTGCATGTGGTAGTCCATGTGAAGACAGACAAGGTCTCATCTCCCAAGCTTTCTTTCCTCTGGACTAAATGCTTTGACTTCTCATGGCATGCCTTTTTTACTGTCAGATGCCATCAACTCAGTTCCAACTCACAGCACAACAGGACACAACACTGCCTGGTCCTGCACACTCCTCACCCTTCTCACTATGCTTAGGGACATTGTTGGAGCCACTGTAGCAAGCCATCTCTTAAGGGGCTTCCTCGTTCTCACTGATCCTCTACATGCTGTGGTGGTGGTGGTGGTGGGGGGGTGTATATCCTCGACTCATAGCACCACTGTATAAAGCCTTTATGGGAGCAGAAAGCCTCAGATTTCTCCTACCTACATGCCGCACTTCCCTTACGATACCTGCAATGGAAGCCTTGACTTCAAAAATGGTCTGCTAGGCACCAATTACCACTAAGGGGCCATTCATCATTTCCTTTCCTTAGAACATCATGCTGGTAAGCACTGTCATATTTTTGTTGTTGTTGTCGTTAGGTGCTGTTGAGTCCATTCCAATCCACAGTACCCCTGTATAGGGTTTCTGAGGAGCCTGAACCGTTGACCTTGCAGTTCAAAGCGACTTTGCAGTCCAGCGCATTAACCCACAGCGTCACACCAGGCTCCTCCTTAATCACTGTTGCTAATTAAATTAGCTCTTTTAGCAGCAACATCACCTTGTTGTTGTTGTTGTTAATGCCGTGGAGTCGGTTCCGACTCATAGTGACCCTGTACAAGGTTTCCAAGGCTATAAATCTTTACAGGAGCAGAAAGCCTCATCTTTCTCCCATGGAACGGCTGGTAGTTTCAAACTGCTGACCTTGTGATTTGCAGCCCAATTCGTAACCACTACGCTACCAGAGCTCCTTAAACTATGCTAAATTATACAAAAAGATTCAAGTATCTTCCACATTAATTTTTGACAAAACAATCAATATCTGTATAATGGATTTTTTAAAACCTAAAATGTAAGACATAATCTCTTCTGTGGCACGTCCTCTAACATCCTGTACCCTTTTCTCTTACAGCCTTTACTGTGGAGGCAGGAAAAGCTAAAATACTTGTTTACCCAACCTCCACTGCTGCTAGGAATGACCACATACACAGTTCTGACTAATGAGATGAAAGCAGACATTTGATTTCTGTCTTCTTTCCTTTGTTCTTGTCTTTTCTGTGGACACCATGGCTGGAGCTTCAACAGCAACCTTGAGATCATGAGGGATTAACCAAGAGGTTCATAGAGACAATGGACCTGGGAATGCTGAGCCACTGAATCGCTGCCAGAAGGTTATTACTTCCACGCCTTCCCACTGATGAGACGAGAAAAAATGAATGGCTTATTTAAAAAATAATAATAATAACAACTTCCACCTACACTAGCAAATTCTTCATTACTGGGATCCTGCAACAACCACGATTAGGCACTCCTGGAAACCCAGTATCTGATATGGCTGAGTATGAGTCCTCCTTAGCAACAGAACCCTGATTTTGCTTGGAGTGACTACATACCCTATGACAAAATATCTCCACAGAAGTTTGGGTAACGAGGTGATCCAGTTCTAGTGAGTCAGGCATAAGTACACGTCTACTAAGTGAAATGTCCAGAAAAGACATCTCTTCCTGATGAAGAGATGGACTCATCTGGTGCCTTATCCACCCCTTTGTCCTGCCCATGTCGACGGCTGCAGGAGGACTCAACTCCCAACTATGAGGACAGCGACAGAGACTACTGTTAATGCATAACGAATACCTACACTTCCTTTCTTCCAATAACTGAACCTATGAGGACAGCAACAGAGACTACTACTGTTAATCCTAACAAATACCTACACTTCCTTTCTTCCAATAACTGAACCTTGGTTTTATGTTGAGTACTTGGCCCCTAGAAAAGAGATGGCATTTCCCAGCTTCCCTGAAGCTTAAAGGAGTCCTGCTGACATATAAGATAAGCACTGAGCTGTTAACTGCAAAGATCGGTGATTCAAATCCATCATAGGCTCGCAGGAGAAAGATAAAACTGTCTGCTCCCGTAAAAAACACAGCTTCAAAAACCTTATACAGGATGGCTATGAGTTGCAGAGGGTCAGCTTGCTTGGGGGCGGGGGTGGGGGGGTGAGAAGGAATGGTTCTTGAGGCTTAGGTGCAATCATGTGGCTAAGTGCTGGTCAATAAAGTCTATAGTTTTCTATGGGAGCTTTTAAGACTCCTCCTTATAAGGCAATGAACACACACTCTCATCCTTCTTCATCTTTTTCTTCCTTCTGCTGCCTGTTAGTCCTACCTGCCACCTGGGACCTGAGGAGGGTCCCATAGGAGAATCTAAGACTTGATGAAGAAGAAGGGGTATACCAGCTCTTGCCTGTCTGTCTCTGGACCAATACATAAGAGAGTAATAAACGTCTATGCCTGACACATAAGCACTTATACTCTATACAAGGACTCTAGGGTCTTTAGAATGGCGGGGCCCTAGGTCTTGAATGGCTCCATCAAACAGCTGCAGCCACCTCCTAGGAGATAAAATAAGCAGAGACTGCTTAGGTGAGTGACACTGTAGTTGTTGAATACCCCTCCTTATAGTACATTTGATGGATACTGAATTGTGTTTGACAGATGCCAATAGGAGATTAAATGAAGACAAAGACATGCTGACCATTTTTACCTAGACTCTCACCATGATGGTGAAAGTATCAAGATAGTGCATGTAACAGGCTATACTGACTGTAATAGCGTTATCTAATTGTTTTATTTTTCTCATTTAACAAGGTGGCTCCAGGTGCTTGATGAAGCCATCAAAGACTTGGAGCCCCATCATTCTACTAAGGCTTGTGTCCTTGTATTGAGTATACGCACGTATGAGGCAGATGTAGATGTTTATTGCTATATACATTCAGGAGTCCTGGTGTGGCGCTGTAAACTAAGCACTTGACTACAAGGTAGGTTTGAACTGTAAAATCGGCATTTCAAATTCACCAGGTGGTCTCAGAAACCCTACACAGGGTCGCTGTGAGTTGGAACCAACTAGACAGCACTTAATAGCAACAACATATATAGTCTACAACCCTTCAACCTGAACGCACCCAATCTTGTCTCATCTCGGAAGCTAAGCAGGTCGGGCCTGGTCAGTACTTGGATAGGAAACCACCGAGGAATAACCGAGTAGATAAGCACAAGACAGCTATCTGCTAGGTCAGAGGTTCAAACCTACCAGCTGATCCTTGGAAAACCTATACAGGGTCACTGAGAGTAGCAATTAACTTAACAGCACACAATAACATGATATACTGGGTTGCTATGAGTCAGAACTGACTCGATGGCACTGAGTTTTGAGGATAATATGAGAAATCTGATTAAGTCAAAATTGTTGTTGTTAAGTGCCGTCGAGTTGGTTCCGACTCACAGTAAACCTGTACAAAGTTTCTGAGGAGCAGCTGGTGGGTTTGAACTGCCAATCTTGCAGCTCACAATCTAGTGCTGAGAGAGTCAGCAACCGAATCTTATTGCATACAATTGATTGTAAATACTGAAGAAAAAGGGTACATTTTCAAGGTTTTCTTTTTATTAGTACTATACCTTGTCCAAGGACTTCTGGTGTGGCTCTGTAGGATCAGCACTGGACTATGAACCACCAGGTCGGTGGTTCAAACCCACCAGCTT